TTTATTGAACTTTTCTGGGTTTGCATATCCCAAATTTAAGTCCAAATTAAAGAGTGATTTATTAAATCAACATTTACACACACAGTATTCATCAATGTCTTTATTATTTACAATAAGCTTAACACTGATAAGCAGAACTTCACAGTAATATGTGAGCTTTAAATAAGAAAAAAAAGTACAATAAAAAAAAGAAATGTTTGTTAACATTTGACATTTTTATCCCTGTTTAGATTCACATATTCCACTACGATGTGTTTGTGTTTACATTGCACTCATCCAACTGAAGCCATGGCCTTTGGTATAATGATGTTCTCCAGAACCCAAAACAGGGAGACGGAACAAAACACGGACACACACAAAAGAAAAAAAAACACACCACTGATGGAGAGAAAACAAATATGGTGAGGATGAATGATTAAACAGAAAGCAGCTTGAGTTCAGACATTTGAAGATGACTGCTGATTGAATGCAACAGTTTGTGATTTCTGATAAGGCTTTTTGGGGGAATCTGCTTCATTGTGATGCTAAAAAAAATAAACAACAGGTTATTGTTCAATTTAGGTGAAAACAAATGTTTGGGTTTAGTGTGGCTGTGCTAATAGTGTTAATGGTCATTCAAAAATCAAATCTTTTAATAAAAGTGCACCGACTGGTTTTCAAGTTTGCACCCGACTGTTAACCTCCATATGAATCGGTTTACAAATTCACACTGAAATGAACACTTTAATTACCATTATGTACAAAACATAAATACTCTGTCTTATGAAAAGGCACCAAAAAGTATGAGAAATGATAAAACTGAAATCCACAGTGACATCTACACTCCTGATCAAAATCTTAAGACCAGTCAAAAAAGTGCTTTGCACTATTGGATCTTAAGAAGGTTCTAAGTAGAGCTTCACAATGTTAAAAGAAGAAATCAGTGCAAGAGACAAGAACTTTTGAGCAGGGAATTTTCTGAAAACTGCATTTACACTCAAACATGATTTTTCAGCTGATCAAAAGTTTAAGACCATAGTCTTTAAAAGCCAAAAGCTGTGCAAAAATCTGGATTCCATGTCATTTTCTGTCAAGTCTTTACACTGTCAAGACCTCCTGATGGCAAAAGTAAAAAAGCTCGCTGACTTTGAACGTGGTAGGATTGTTGAGCTGCATAAGCAAGGCCTCTCACACCTGTAATGATATGTGATGATGTAGATATCAGTTTTAACCACTAGATGTCAATATTATTCTTGATCACATGGTGCAGACAGGATAGATATAGGAGGAGGAAATGTTTGTACAGAGAGAAGGGCGTGGAAAAAGAAAATAAAGTGGTGTTGCATGAAGAAGAGTCCCTGTTCCTTGAACAAAGAACACAACAACACCGTGCCATCGCTGCTGAAGTTGGACGCAGTAAGACAGTCATTTTGCATTTTTTAAATGATCCTGAGGGTTATGGAACAAAAAAGTCAAGTGGTAGACCCAAAAAATGTCACCAGGATCCGATTGGCTGTCCGTCAAGACACGGGACGATCCTCTACCCAGATTAAGGCCATTACTGGTGCTGACTGCAGCCCAATAACCATCAGACGGCATCTGTGAGAGAAGGGCTTCAGAAACAAAAAACGTCTTCAACGCCACAAAATTGCCCATTTGGACTTTGCAAGGGTGCACCAAACATGGGACATTGAAAGGTGGAAGAAAGTTGTCTTCTCTGATGAGAAAAAATTTAACCTTGATGGTCCTGATGGCTTCCAACGTTACTGGCATGACAAGGAGATCCCACCTGAGATGTTTTCTACACGGCACAGTGGTGGGGGCGCCATCATGATTTGGGGTGTGTTTTCCTTCAATGGAACAATGGAGCTTCAGGTTGTGCAGGGGCGTCAAACAGCAGCTGGCTATGTGGAGATGTTGCAGCGGGCATCCCTCATGACTGAGGGCCCTCGTCTGTGTGGTGATGATTGGGTTTTTCAACAGGACAATGCTGCAGTTCACAATGCCTGCCTGACAAAGGAGTTCTTCCAAGAGAATAACATCACTCTTTTGGACCATCCTGCATGTTCCCCGGATCTAAACCCAACTGAGAACATTTGGGGATGGATGGCAAGGGAAGTTTACAAAAATGGACATCAGTTCCAGGCAGTGGATGCCCTTCGTGAAGCCATCTTCAACACTTGGAGCAACGTTCCCACTAGCCTCCTGGAAACACTGGCATCAAGCATGCCTAAACCATTGTTTGAAGTCATCAACAAGAATGGTGGAGCTACTCATTACTGAGTCCTTTTCTTGACACTTTGATTTCTGTTTTGGGGGGTTTTCGGGGTTTTTTGAGCTATGGTCTTAAACTTTTGATCAGCTGAAAAAAGTCATGTTTGAGTGTAAATGCAGTTTTCAGAAAATTCCCTGCTCAAAAGTTCTTGTCTCTTGCACTGATTTCTTCTTTTAACATTGTGAAGCTCTACTTAGATAGAACCTTCTTAAGATCCAGTAGTGCAAATTCTGGCACTTTTTTTGACTGGTCTTAAGATTTTGATCAGGAGTGTATTAAAGACAAGTTCGTCAACCAACACAAAAGAGAAGAAAAATAAAAAGATGACCTTTTATTTTCCCATCATTGACGGTTATTTAAGTGCTATGGATCTGCTGTAATTACAGATTCTGTAGCATTACAATATGTGTCATTAAACAGACATTTGAGGCCTTATCCAGTGTACGTTAAGATGAGAAGCAAACAAAAACCCAAGTGTGTGTGTGTGTGCACTGTACACAGCTTTGTGCGCTCAAAAAACAGAGAAACCTCTTTTATCTGAACTCATCAAAATTTAAATTAGGGCCAGTATTTAAAAAATAAAATAAAAATAAATAGAAAATATGGCACCGCAAGAAATTAAAAACAAGCAAAGGTTAAGAATTTTTACATTCAAAGTGCATTTTCAGTCCTGGGCTGATGAACCTCCTGAAATGCATTTCTTTAGACAAAAACTCTGTGGACACATACATTTTTTTTATCCATGGATATGAAATAAATCAAATATTTCAATATTTTCTCTCTTTCTCTCTCAAAATATGTCTGTGCTTTGAACAAAAATAATTCAGAATTCAAGTTCATACATTCTCAAAAGCAGTTTCTCTTTAAAATCAAATAAATCCACGTGTGCTGAAGACCTACTGCAGTTTGTGTGGTGAGTGTAAAGTGGGTGTCTTTGCTCGCTGTGTGGAAGAATTTGAGGCACGTGGGCCACGACAAGGCTACAGGGAATCCAGCACTGTCCACGCTGCCAAGGACACTTAAATTAAACTGAACTGTTGACCTGCTCTGTGCTTTCACACTCATCGCCCTGTTCTTCAGGAAAGTAAGCCAATGTGCAACAATGACCACAATCATTTAGGGAAAATCTGTTGATTCCAGTGTTTCCCCTCTTCTTCTACAAGGAGGGCACCCCCCCACCCATAAAGTGGAGGGGTTGCATTATTTACAAGAGAAAATAATAAAAATTTAAAAATACTAATGTACTACCAGGAGTTTCAATATTCTTTTGTAACGGAGATGTTGTTTGTCGTCACTACAACCTTAGATGTGTTTTTCACACTGGGGTCAGAAAAAATCAATTTTTTTTCCTTTTTCTTCTCGTTAACTGCAGAGATGAAAAGAACTTGCTCCTGACTCCATCTTGCTAATTTAATTGGCGTCTGCTCTGGGAGCACAACAGATTAAGCGTGTGGAAGCTCAACTGTATGGCAGGCCATTTTTACATATAATCGGTTTCACCAAACTTACATTCCTGATATATGAAATTGGTTTATGACTAATCGTATTCGTTTTTTTTTTTTTGTTATTTATTTGAGAGGTATAGGGAGGCACAATAAATTAAACATCAGTATTGGCTGATGGACATTTTTTAGTAAATCGGCATCTGTCCGATAAGTAAAACCGTGCTGATATAAAGGTCTGATTTTGTTTTCTCGCTTGTCATTTGTGTTTCTGTTTCAGGAGTGGGGATGATTCATGAGAGTGATAGTGACGCTGCACAGCCAAGAATAACTGGATGCGCCGTGTGCACAGTGTAATGTGCAAATTTCTCCACTGTGGGATCAATAAAGTTTTATCTTATCTAAGTGAAGCAGAGAGCCATGTCAGCAGTCTGTTTTTTAGTTAAAAAACAAACAAAAAAACCCGTGTTTGTGTGTGTATATATATTTATATATATAATTTGTGTGTTTGTGTAATATCAGTAAATATTGGTTATCGGCCAGAAAAGCAATATTAATATCGGGTATCGATATCGGCTGAAATTTTTTTTACATCGGTGCATACCTAGAGAGATATATAAGATTCAACTAAAGCAAATTAAATTTTTGATTTTCTCATGTTCTACAAGTTTTTTTTTAAACTGCACTCTCTTCTCTTTTAATAAATACTAGTAATGCTTCGGCTGCTGATCATCATTCTGCGCTCAAAAGCCCCCCGCCCTCCGAAGGCCAATACTCTAGGGGGAAACACTGGATTCACAACAGAAATGACAAAGAAGGCATTCAGTCATTTGTCAAAAACCTTTCTAGGTCTGAGAAGTCTGTGTTGGGTACAACTGTGTGAGCTTAATGTGAAAACTCCCTTCAATCTTTCTAAACCTTTGGCTGGATGTCTGGAAATGTCACAGGCTTAACAATTATGAGATTCATAATCACACCATAAAAACAAAGAAACTTAAAAAAAATCTGTAAACTGAATATTTCCATTTGAGACCCTGAACCTTAAATCATAATGAATCCCGATGTTGCGTTCGCACATTTACATTACAATGGCTTTAAAAAATGGCTTATGGTCACTTGAATTTCCCCAGAAATGAAGCACAGCGCTCCACTGTGAAACAATACATCCAGCTGCTGAGTCACATTCTTGTGAAACAATGAGTTAAAGACAGCCACCGTCCTCTGTCCTCAGAGTGAGACAGACACACACAGTGAGCTGAACCTACTTTCTGGGCTGAACAACACACAGCCGATAACACTCCACATTCAGTTAACAAAGAGGCTTTTCATAAATGGAAAGTTGTAGCGAAACATTGCATGTTGTGACTTGAACCACATTTCGTTTTGTGTAACATTTCTCACTATGTACAGTTGTTAGTGTCCACACTGGCATTTTTATGAAACAAGGTTTTTTGTAAACAATAAAAGTGTTACATTTCGTAGTGATTTCTGAGGTACTTTCAGAGATTTGTCTCATTTTCTCCTCCAAAAGAGCTGTTGACAGAACCAAAAACGTAACGAAGTTGGAAAAGAAGTGATTTGAATTGTAGAGTTCATTGGTGTTATCACAGTGGCTACCTCTGCACCACGTCACTAATCTCTTTAATACAGTTGTGGAGGTTTTCCAGCACAGTGTTGGTTCCGACTCCGCTCGGCCCGCCGCCTCCAGAAGATGAGGCCCTCAGTTCCTGCAGGCTCAGCTCCAGCTTGCCCACCGCCTCTCGAAAGGCAAATTTGTTCCTCGTCTGAGGGATGCAGTCCACGTAACCTGAGCAGTAGTCGAGCAGCTGGTGGCCGGCGTCCAACACCTGGCTGCTGGAGGGGCTCTCGGAGCTGGCGTACAGCACGCTGCTCAGGCCCTCGGCGCACTCCAGCAGGGCCTCGCGGCTGACCCGCTCCAGGGACACCCTCTCCATCTGTTGCCGGGTTCGCCGAAGCGCCACTTTGGTACCGGCGGACGGTGCGCCGTGCGAGGCTCCGTTGGCCATTTTGGTGGGAGTTGTGTTGGTGCTGGCGGGGCAGGTGGAGGAGGAGGATGCAGGAGGAGGCACTTGTGGTGGTGGTACTGATGGTCTACCCGTCGTCGCTCCTCCCGACGCTCGCCCGGACCTGTGAGCTTTCAGCGTGTCTCCGTTTATCTCGAGGGGCGGCGTGCCGACTGGCTCCTCTCCGTCGGCGCTGCGGGACTGCTGCGGGCCGCGCGGGGCGGGCGGCGGCGGGGGGGCGCACTTGGGCTTGACGAGCCGCGGCCTGTCCCGCTCGCCTTGGTGCTCGGACAGCAGCTTGAAGCGGTTCCCCTGAGAGTCCAGTCCGACCAAGTGCACGTCGGCCGGGCTGTGCTTCGGCGCGGGGGAGATCAGGACCGGAACTTTGTGGTTGTGCGTGGGCGCGCCCGCCGGGGTCGACGGCAGACTCGGGTTCTTGGAGGGAGACGACCAGCCCTGCTGCTGCTTGTCCGGCCCCGCGCCCTCCTCTCTGGCTTCCCTGACCCGCGACAGACCGTCCGATTCTCCCGCCTCCCCTCCGACTCCCGGGGCGCGCGCCCCTACAGCGGCGCTCCGGGGCAGCAGCTTAGCTTTTGGCCTCTCCCTGATTTGTGCGGTGCCCTCGTCCATCCGCCTCAACAGGGCTTCCGAGGGCCGCGCCGTGCCGTTCTCTGGCTGAGAAGTGGTGGAGGCAGTTCTTTCCAGAGGCGGCTTAGCGCTGCGGTTTCTAGGCAAAGTCAGAGAGATGCGCTCCAAGTCTGGCAACCCAGAAGACATGGAGGAGGTAGAATTGGACCTGGGGAAAGGTTTTGGTCCTCCAACCACGCCACCACCTTCCTCCGAGGAGGCCGTCTTTCCGGTCCGTAGCCCCAGGGTTTTTTTGATGAGTCTGGGAGTGAAAAACCCAGCCAGTCCACTCCAACTGCTGCCGCTCGATATCTGAGGACCAAGAACCCCGCCCGAAGGTTTCTGTCCAAAGGCAGCTCCGCAACAGCGAGATTGAGTCTGGGCGGGTTCCCCGTGAGAGGGAGGAGGAGAGGGAGAGAAGCCCCCTAAACTGTCAGACTGGGGCAGGGGAGGAGGCGCGCTGAAATCAGCCGTGGGCTCGTATTTCTTGTGAGGCTGCGTCTCCATCTCCCGGAAGGAGCTGCTCCTCTTGGGTGGCGTCGGAAGGCTCTGTTGGAGTTGGGAAGAGGAAGAGGAGGAGGAGGAGGACTTCTTCCTCATGAAAGAGCTGAAGAAGCCGGCCTTTCTGTCCCGTGTGAATGTGCCAATATTTTGTGCGTCCTCTAAAAGGCTGCCGGGAGATTTATCTCTCGGCTGCTGTTTTCGGGGCAGAGCCGGGGAGCTCCCCGATCGGCCGTCGCCCCCGAAAAAAGTCGAAGCCCAGCCTGAACAGAAAGAAACAAAGAACAAGCAGATTATAATTACAAAACTGACCTCAGCAGGAGCACTTCCCATCTTTTTCATTATAACAGGAAATGGAAAATACTTGTTACTTAATACACTCGCATCAGTACATTAACATCACTCAGACTGTTGCATGTTATTGTAAGAGGATGAACTATTCTCGTTAGAAAAGCTGTGCATTGCTCCTTTGGGGCTCAAAGAAAAAACATTTCAGGAGACTGAATGGAAAGTTTGAGCTCATGCCAGTAATCTGAATACATAATTTATAATTTATGAGTTGCGCTTATGAAAGATGAGACATTTAAGCAAGATTTAGGTGTCAAGTGATTACACAACAAAAAGTGAAAGGATGCATAGGTCTTCTAGAGACTAGAGGTGCACCAAGAAATCAGCCCAGATTTCCTCAATTCTGGGAGATCATCTGATATAAGATCGGTGGAAACAATCCGGAAAGGTCTGAAAATCAGCCACTGTCCCCTTTTACTGTGCTGAGAGCTTGTATTATTTCAAGGATATTGTTCAATGAATGAATGAATGAATAACGCCCTCAGGTTATAAAAGCACACATGCAGTGAATGCAATGTTTTTATATAAAATAAGACTGAAATATTGAAGGTGTATTGTGACCTTATAACACCTGACAGTTTCAGCTATTCAAAAAAAAAAAAATCAGAATTGGCAGGTGACTTTTTAAAGATCAGAAAACTCGGTGCACCCCAATTAGAGACACAAAGTAAACCTGATTTTTTTTTTTTTAGGAATACAAAGTTAATTACAACTTTGTTAAGCAGGAAATGAGGCAGAAATATTGTGAAGACACATAAATAACTTTATATATTTAAACGTAACATTACATGTAGCAGGAAACAAAGCACCTCAATGTTCTTTTACTTTTCACTTAGTTTATAAAGTTATGTGCATATAATCCTTATTTTTATTTACAGATTATACTCAATATGGGTTTGAAGTACAATCATACAAAGATCTTAAAATTGTTGGGGATGAAAAAATGTTGGTGTCTGCTTTCAATGCTTGATGTCACTTTTATTAGGTTTATAAATTCAGGACCAAAAACCTTTTTTTTTATTGGTGAAAACTGCTCAAAACTTAAAATCTGAACAAAGTTGCCACAGTTACAAAGAGATAAAAGGAAAAAAACAAAATATACCAAGTTTACACACAACTGACAAATACATTAAATGTTACACAAATAAATAAAACCAAAAATCTTTAAAAAAATAAGCCATAACTTACATATTAAAATGCATATGTTTTGCTTACAATATAATACAAATTGTTTAAAAAATAAATAAAAACATTATCTAGAGGGTGAGTCAAAAGACTCAAAAGAAAGAAAAGGGGGAAATGAATAATCCAAATACACCAGCAAATAATGGAGTTTGGAAAAACTTGCCCTTAATTCAATATGGCAGCTATATTTTGGACCCCTCTTGTTGGGGCATTCAGAGGTTTCATTTTCCCTTTTCTTTCTGAAATAAAAGTGTGTCCTGAGACTTTTGACTCACTCTGTTTTTTTTTTTTGTAAGCTGTGATTTAAGATGCTGGATACCACAGATGGTTTTATTGTAACTTATTGTCTAGAGCAGAATAATGATGGTAAGAATGGAAACACACTTTAGCATTTCTGCAGTTTATTTTTATTGTTGATTATTTATATATTTGTCAAATACATGTTCACTTTTTATGTTAAGATTTGAATTTCTGTTATTTCCTAGTAATGTTGACTTAAATGGACATACTGTAAGTTTCACTATTGATGAAAAGGCGATTTCAATCTAATGTGTTTTTATGTGTTGGAACATTCTTTCAGGTTGTGTGGAAAGAAAACACAGATTCTGGTTCTCAGTTGTTGAGGAAGATGACAGCCCTTCTTTTCAGACGTCGAGCTTGGCGCCGCTGCAGGTAACTCTGCGTGTTGTTGTCCTCTGGCGTACCTGCAGAACCATAAAGCGGTGTACCCGACCGGTCAATAGTGAGGTGCCTGGCAGTACCTGAGTGACTGTGTGCGCCGTGGTCGCAGTGCCCGTCCAGTCCGCCCTCTATGTTCTCCTTGTTTTCTGTGTGCTTGGGGAGTGGGCGGGATTTGGAAGGCAACAGGGGCGTGTCGTGACTGAAAGATTGCACTGATCCGCAGTGACCAGAAGAAGCCGTTTTACAGAGCTCCTCTGCAACCTCTGCAAATTGTAAAGAAGAAAATAGTTTACTGACAGGAAGCCAGTGCTCAGATCCAATATCATTCATGCAGCTTATATTTTTTACATTACGTTTGATCTAAAACCCATCAAGTCTGCTTTTAAAGTTTAGTTTAATGCTTAATGCTACAAGATTTTTGTTGAATATCTAAAAACGGCAAAACTAGCCTAAAAATAGCTTTAAAAAAGTAGATTAAATAGATGAAATTAGCAGACAAAAAACAGCTGAATTTAGCTGAAAAAAAGCTCTAATTAGCTAAAAACACAGAAAAAAGCTGAAGTTTGCAAAAAGCAGTTAAAAGCAGCATAAAAGCATAAAAAAGCCAAAAGAAACACAAAAAAGTTTAAATTAGCAGAAGAAAAGCAGAGGTCAGAATCACAGCAAAAAAGCAGAAAAAAAAGAGCTAAAATTAGCAACATCGAACCCAAAGGAAGCTGAAATTAGAACAAAGGTGTTAAAAAAAGCAGAACTACAACAAAAGGTAAAAATTACAGTAAAAGACTTAAACATTTTAAAGGATTTTAAATATGCTGAAGACATTGATGTTCAATTTGAAAAACATGGCAGATAAAGCCAAATATCTCAGAAAGTACAAATTGCCATAGCTGGAATGTCCTAATGGAGCCGAATGTTTTCATGTATAATTTGTTGAAACAAAAATTGCGGAATGAGATACGTGCCGAAAAACGTAGGAAAAAACAAAGAAAAAAAGTGATCTCAACAGTGAACATTTGAGAACAGACTGGCAACTGACAAAAAGCTACCTTCGGATATGCTAGAATCATGAAACATGGTCTCAAAGGCTTGGTGTGTTTCTGCAAATGAAGGTCGATCCAAAGGGCTCCACTGCCAGCCTGGTAGAAAGACACAAAAATACATTTTCGTAGAAGAAAGGAGAACAATGTAATGTAGCTGTAGATGTGTTCAAACACTGGGAGCACTCAGTTTCAGGTAGGTGATGACACTAACATGATGGGCAGGAAACAAGAAATGCAACCAACTCAGTGGTTCAGTTCTTAAATCTGCTGCACTTTACTGACTCCTAAAAAAACTAATTTATCCACGCAGACATGTCTACCCCTCTTCATCAAATCTGCCTCAATGGGACTTTATGTAGACTTTGCACTGAGGAGCTGACTGAATAAATTCTTCTCAATATCCAGCCTTGCTGATGTTATCAAATCCGCATTCTGAACAAATAAAAGTTAGGTGAGATAGAAGGAACTCACATGCCCTCATGAGTTCATAAACTTTGGGTGGGCATCCCTCTGGCTGCTCCATGCGATAGCCTTTTTCAAGAAGATCGTAGACCTGAGACAAATCAATGCCTGGGTATGGAGACATCCCATAGGTGGCAATCTCCCAAAGCAGAACCCCGAAAGCTGCAGGGAAGAACAACAACATGAGCACACTGGAAATAATTGTTAAATATTAAATAGGACTCCACAGAGATGTTTTACTCACCCCAGACGTCAGACTTGATGGAGAAGGTGTTGTACGCGAGGCTCTCCGGTGCGGTCCATTTGATGGGGAACTTCGCTCCAGCATGAGCAGTGTAAGTGTCACCAGTCATCAGCCTGCTTAGACCAAAGTCTGCTACTTTAACCACATGATTCTCCCCGACCAGGCAATTCCTCGCAGCGAGATCTCTGCAAAAACAATGGGGGAGAATAGTTGTTTTAAAAATTAAGAGGAAGCATTTAAACACGCACCTGTAGAAAAACACACACTCTGATTTTACCTATGTATGAAGTTCTTCTTCTCCAGGTACTCCATGGCAGAAGAGATCTGCGTGGCCATGTAGAGCAGCGCCACAGCATTCACCTCCGACTTTTCACAATCTCTCAGGTAATCCAGCAGGTTGCCATGTGGCATGTACTCTGTCACAATGTAGAAAGGAGGCTCCAACGTACACACACCTGTGGGAGTGAAAACACGGTGAAAACAAACGCAAAAACAACAAGAGTACGCACACTTTAGTCAATACTGACCAAGAAGCTGAACGAGGTTTGGATGTTTAATCTCTTTCATGACAGCTGCCTCTTTCAGAAACTCCTCAACTTCCATAGTGTCCTCCTGGCATCACAGAAACAAACAAACAAAAAAAGTTAGGAAACTCATTCTCAATAGTGTGAAACAGAATAAGACATGATGTGTAATTTTAACTACCACCTGCAGATGGTGCTCTATAAACATTCATATCCATATTGAATTATTTGCTGCTACTTCAGTGATTACAGGAAGTTCCAGTTCAGTTAAAATGTATTCCATAAAAACCTAAATGGGTCTGTAGTGACAGAAATTCAAACCTTGAGTGTTTTGACTGCCACTGTCAGGTTGTACTTCTTCCAAACGCCAACATACACCTCCCCATACTGGCCTCCTCCAAGCTTGTGCTTCATAGTGATGTCTGTGCGTTCCATCTCCCATTTATCGTGGATGGGCGACACACCGTACACGGTGGGTTTGTTGCATTTGGGTGCGGGGTAGTGCAGAGTGGTGACCAGGCCGTCGGGTACGGTGGAGTGGTGGTGGACCAGCTCGGCGAGGGTTGCAAATCGGCTTTCAGATGTCACGTACACCTGAGCGAAAAGACACAGGATAAAACACAGGTTGCAGCTCGATACCAAATGACAGGAAAAAAAGGCACTTTATTCGGCCAGACTACCTTCCCATCAGTGGCTGTGTTGATCCTGTAGTGGTACACCCTGCCCTCGTAGCGCAGAGATATGGACAGCTGCCCGGGGCTGCTTTCGCTCTCCCTGACCAGGAAGCTACCGTTGATGAGGGAGGACAGCAGGTACTCTGCGGCACTGCGGGACACAGGCCCATGGTACCAGCTGTGCTTCTCCAGGCTGTTTACTGGTGTGATGTAGTTGGAGGGAACCCAACCCTGACCGTTTTTAGACCGCACTTCACTCCACTCGCCATTCTGGTTGTAGCCCAGCACACGCAGCTTCTCACCTGGAAACACAAGGTGGGATAAGGGTCTGAAAAGATCCAGTGCAGTGACACGATCACTGGCTTTGATTAAACCAACTTCCAATAAAAAGACTAGTGTTTGACAATAACAAGCAATTCAGACAAGTTTATTTTGAGAAGTAAAAAGTTAAATATGAGCAGGCCTGTCGCGATAAGCAATAAATCAATCTCAGGATAAATTAAAATAAGGTTGATAACTTCATTTCATTTGTCTCCCTCTTTTCCCTCAGGGTAGGGAGGATTGAACTCTCACGGCAGGTATTTGCCAGGAGCATGGTCTCGTAACCTCTGCAGCATTTAGCTAGAGGAGCGTCTTCAGTTTTCTGACGTCTTCTTTCAGCTGGTGACGCCTCAGGATGCTTTCAGGGTACCGTGCCAAAGCTTGTGTTCAAACAGTTGTTTCTTTTTTTTTAAAACATAGGAATATAACCGCTTCAGAAATGGTTTTGTGTAATTTTCACAAACTCCGGTCTATGTCACTTCGTAACTTTTCTTTTTATGTACGTAAATTTTAAATATTGTAAACTTCCGTAAGCAATGTGGGTGTATGTATCATTTTAGTTTTAAATGGTCTCCCAAAGATATTTCTGTTTATCTCAATCATTTGAGACAATTTATCAACCAGCAAAATTTGCTATTGTGACAGACTACGAGCTAAAACAGAATGTTGGTTTAACATTATTGAATAATTGATATAATTTTCTCAATAATGATAGTTTCTCAGTGATCATTTATAATGCTATTTAAAAAAAACAAGTCCCATAAAAGCAGGAGTCGCAGTGGATGTTCCGTGCCTTTTGGTGAAATCAAAGCCCGCAACAATGATAGAGGTAGTTAAAAAACATTTCTGCTATAAAGGGCTAGGCAAAGCCAGGCATGTAGAGACAGTCTGTTGTCTGTCTCTGACATCGATGCGGGAAGCATTGAGAAGTAGAGATGGCTGATGTGCTGAAAGAATGGGGCAGGGATTAGTCCTGCCAGCTGGATGCAGGATAAGATGAAAACAAAATGATTAGAAGGAGAAAAAAGGGCAGAGAGATTTATAATTTCGCACATCGAACCTTTGGTTTTTGTTTGTTGCAAAATTTCTAAAATTGAAAATTTTTTTAATAAAAAACTTTTGGTGTGATGCTGAGCAGGGTTTCAATTAAATAAACACTTTACAAAAAAAAAAAAAACTGATATAGCGGCTAGGCTAGACAACTGGAACTGCAGTTTTAGCTCTTGAAACAATCAAAGAATAAACAGATGATTAACCACATCCAGCCTTTCAACCCACCAGTCCACTCTTTGACTAGCTTCAGAGGGACTGGAAACACTGACTGCCTCCTGTCTTCACGCTGCGCATGGAGAGCTCGGGTCTGGCTCAGCTTAGTCTAGCCTGTGAAGAAGAGGCCATGACGAGCTGCAGACGTGCTCCTGCTCTGTCCTCCTCCTATCCATCTGTTATTATTATAGGTGAACTGATTTTGGATGAATTCGGCATCTGAGGCGGCGGGTTTCTTTTCACGTGACGAGGGAACGGTGGGGCGGACAGGAAACGAGCGGAGAGGCCTGAAAGCACATGTGCGCTCGCATGTGGGAAGAAATCTCAGATTTACTCAATGACTCAGCGTTCGAACATCATTTCCATTTCAGGCAGCTGCCATGGAAGTCTTAAAACGTTGAATTAAAACAGTGCCACGTTGAACACTGGAGACACAAGCCGCTCTGATAGCAACTTGTTTCGAGTGCTGCTAAATGAGAGGAAAGAGGTCTGAGCCGGGGAAGAAGTGTGTTTATGAGGTGCGAGAACACCAAAAATGACCAGTTTTTCCAGTTGTACAGACTGCACCCGTTTCACCTCCAAAACTGAACCTCATATATGATGTCAAAGAACTAAAAGTGGTTTGTTGGGTTTGTTACCTGCTTACGTAACGAGGAAAACCCTACTGGCACGCAACATTCCACTGGATTAACTAAGCTTCACCTCGGGAGCAGCAAGTGTGAGAGATGCCGATGTGCCAATCACTACCTCCACCTGAAATATGTTACTGATGACTCTGCCCTCTGTTCTGTTAATAATTGTTTCTTTTCAAGGTGGGGTTGAAATGGAAATAAGCCATCACAAAGAGGAGGTGAGCTATGCTGCTAAGCAACAAGTATACACAACAGAAAAAATGCAGTAGAGCAAAAAAAGTTAAGTTTCAGCTTATGACATAAAATCTAAGACATATTTATAAAAAAAAACTCGAAACCAAAGTAACTAAATTGTTTCTCTTTTTTTACCTTTGGTGATGCTGAGTGTGTTGTCTCCACTAGCCACAAAGTCGTAAAGTGCAACGAAGAGGTTGGGGTCACTCTCAGCTGCCCCCAGTAGGTTCTCCTTCGAGCTCCAGCGCACTGCCTCTGTCAGAGCTTCTGGGAGAAAGGAGAAATAGCGAGTCAGCAAACAACACAGGTCAAAGGTGAACAGAGGAGCCATGATCCACTGTTGTGGCTGCAGTTGTAAACGCACACTAAAGGTGAAAACAAACAAAAATAAAAAATAAAAAAACAGGGTTGAAAGTTTTTCCAACCAAATGCCAAAAGCAACCTAGTACCTAAAAATGTAACCCCACAGACAATCTACCTGTCTGTCCAGGCTGGGTCTCCCGCCTGAACCCTGTGCGGAGCTGAAGAGTGCTCCGAGCTGCCCATTCATCCTCAAAGCTGCTGCTTGCCTGCAAGCACCTCAAAAGCATTACTTCACCTAATCTGCTCTGGAAACAGCACTGTTATCACCAGCCGCACACAGAAGACTGGTGTCCAGCCTGTGCTGCATTAATATCTAAGGTGAGACTTTTTTTTTTTGTGAATGTTTCTAACAAAATAAGGTGGAGCAATGAGCAAATGGGATGGGAGAAATGAACAGAGGGCGTTAAAAGACACACACCCACTGAACACAATGATTAGTTACTACATGCGTAGCTAAGTCGTACACGCAGTAGCAGCTGCATGCCTGGACAGCTGCTGAATGACTAGAGGAGGGTTGTAATGGAATGGAGAAGCAGAACTATGATACAAGCAACTGCAGGCCCATAGAAATGCTGCAATGTAGCATTACAATCTGTTGAAAACCACGACCAACAACCCAGAAGATGAGGTTTGTTCTCAGCAATAGGCCAAGTCTTTTTTACATACTATTAAAAAAAATAAGAAAACAATCTAAATCATAACATCCTTGTTTAAAATACAAATTTCAAAGCAATTCAAAGCATCAAGCCAACTTAAACAACATACCGGTAGATGTTCTGAAAGTGGTACTTTCTAAACCCAAGCAATGGAAAGTCCAAACTATGGCTAGAACCCAAATGTTTTCTTTGGTTTGCTACATCTAATACCATTAATGCTACGACAATCAGATAAATGTTTTAAACCCAAACATATTTGCCACAAGTTCCTGCAGTTCTGTCACGTTATTTTTAACTTAAACAACAATGAAGCAATTTTATGTTTCAGCAACTTTAACTGAATATTTACAGTTTTGGTTAAAAACAAATGTAAAATAAAAAAATGTTAGAAAAATAAAAATAATTTTATAGAAAATACGTTTGTTTTAACGAGTTGAGAACATAAATTGTTAAATGTTAGTCAATGTGGTAAATTATGTGAAATTGTTCAATTCATTCTCAGACAAGTTGATCAAGTGAAACCTACCACAGTAAAATAAGTTGCCAATGTCAATTTATTTATATAGCACATAAACAACAGAAACTGACCAAAGTGCTTCACTATTCAGCCAAATGAACCAATAAAAGCAACAAAGAAACACAGAAATGCCCAAAAATAAGTCACATAAAACAGATGTACAACTTAGAAACATCAGGTCTAGAAGAATCTCAAACTTTACCAGAATCAAAAAAACCAAAGAGTAAAGATGGGTCTTAAGCATAACTTTAAAAGACTTGATAAGCTCAGTGGTGTGCACACAGAAAGGTAAACTTTCCACAGGTTTGGAGCAGGAACTGCAAAAGCCTGATCACGTCTGAGTTTTAGTTTGGATCTAGGAACATTTAAACTGATTGGATGAGCGAAGTGCTCTGACTGAAGTGAGATCACACATGTATGATGGGCTAAGACCTTTAAGAACTATAAAATTAAGCAGTAAAGTCTTAAATCTATCCTAAAATGAACAGGAAGTCAATGGAGAGAAGCTAGAACCAGAAACATGTGTTCATGTTTTTAGTATTTGTTAAAAGACAAGCTGCTGCATTATTGGCAACTTGTAAGCAATGCACAGAAGATTTATCTAAAGCAACATACTACACTTGTGCCAATGCTTTTATTTCCTTACAGAAGTGGCATAGGTTTCTATTTTTTGTATTATTTGTCTTTATGTGTCAAGCACACATTTTCCAAAGTGTGAACTACACAATTAAGTAATACAAAAACCTCATATGTTGTTGAATTCCAAGTGAGGTCTTTCTTATTCTAAACAAGTTTGATAATCTACAGAAAAAAAAGCCCACCTTTGTTCTGAAGCAGCATACACTGCAACGCAGCACTGGCTGTGACCTGGCTCAACCACAATTCCCAGTACATCTTCTGCTTCCGTCTGCTCAGCTACCACTTCTGGTATGAAGAGAAATACCAGTTTTCTTGATCCTAAATGCCTCCGACAACAAAAACCAAAAACTTCCTGACAAAGTAAGAAGGCCAAAATGACACATCCCGAGGAAAAAAACAAATAAAAATTCAAGCTAAGTTGCCTGAAAGTCTGACATTACTGCAGTGACTCTCAGCCTCCTGCTGAAAACTTCCTTCTAGCTTTGATGTGGCCTGAGAGGGATCAGACTTCCAAGTCCACGTGGAGAACAGACGTCCTATGGTCTCTGAAGTCTAAAGCACTCACAGTAATGGCAAAAATCGGTAATGGGAGGGCACAAAAACACATGTGGTTGGTGGGGGGGGGGGGGGGCATGCACAGAGCTTGGGGAATACAACATAAAGGAAAGTTGAGCTGAATGTGATGAATGTGTGCGTATGTATGGTGTGGGAGTGCATAGGGACTAAACCGATGCTGTGGCCAACAGCAGATGGTTTTCCTCGAGGGGGAGAGGTCCTATTAACCCACACTTTTTTCTGTGTGTAAAGAGGGGTGGGGGGCGTTCATAAATGTGTGTGAGGGAGCTTGAATGCGACTGCTGCAGCCGTGCCAAACCAACTGTCAGAGCTGCTCCTGTTACACAGCTACATATCACATCCATCTCTCAGGAATGTTTTAATGATAGAGATTAGGCCATGAATATTAGTTAAAAAGTCTCAATCTGGTAGGTAGAATTGGAGGTGGAAATTACTGATGATCTTTGGCAGAAATGTATTAAGATATACTGTAGTTTTATAAATATAGATATAATGTGATTCCATTTAAAGTTACACTATTCCCCCACTAAATTGGGAACAACATAAGGATGTTTTATCTCTCTGTGTCAAGTTTTCCAGGGATCAAGGAATCCTAGCTCGTCTTTTCTTTCAATGCCAACTGAATGCCATTTTTTAAACTAAAGTAATTGGTAGGGATATCTCACATACCCCCCTCACAGCATTATTTGGGGTCACTGAACCGGGTTGGGCGAGGACAATAAAAAAGAGCAGACTTTGTCGGTTACATTAGCGGCCAGAAAGATCAAGCTTTTATTTTGGAAGTCTAATAAAACTCCATACTTTTTAAACGTGGCTGAGGGAATTTGGAAATGTGGTCCGCTTGGAGAAAACGAGGTTTTTCTTGTTTAACCAAGTAAGAATATTTTATAAAAGTTGGTAAACAAGTCATTAATTTGATGGATAAACTTTAGCAATGTGCACTTTTTCTTTTCATTTAGTATATGCACCTGTTTGTTTTGTCCATCTTCTATGGGGTTTCTTTTTGAAGGTGGTGTATGTATTTGTTATTAAAAGGTGGTGTATGTATTTGTTATTAAAACCTAAAATCTAATAAAATTATACGTAATAAAAAAAGTTTAAATCTTAAGAATCTAAAAAACAGTCACAGATATAAAAGGCTAACTAGTAGCCCCATTATTAATTATTCAAGGTTTATTAGGCCCAAATAACATTTTCATAAGGCTGACCATTTTTTTAAAATTACATTTAAATTGTCTTACACCTGACAGCAGCAAGATGCCATTCCCTTCAGCTTTACTCAAATCCAACATGATGAGACGAGTGATTGAGGGTGCAGTTGGTCTGCGTGGGGTATGTCGTGTGCCCGCCCGGGTGCCTCAGTGTGTGCTGCGTGAACTGTAGCACATGTGTGTCCTGAAGAAACCAAGGCTTTGTGTTTGAGCAGAGTGGAGCGGGGGGTCTGCGAGTCCGAGGGGGCATGCAAAGCTTGCATCCCTAGAACAGCTGCGACAGAGGTGACCCTCCTCTCAAAGCGCACGGAACATGCAGATACACATTTCATACACACAATCAGCAGTGACGCGACTTCCTCAGGCTAATCCTGCAGCTGTCTGAATGTTTGTGCTTCAGAGAATCTATAAAACTGCCAATCCAACAAATAACCAACTTGCGCCAAAGTATTAAACACAATAACATCACTTAAACACCCTAATCAAAAACAATACTGATTGTAACTGAAGTTCAGAAGCAGCGAGGTAAGGCTGTATTTTTAGCTGCAGGAGAATAAAACACAGCAGCATGACATCCAGAAATAACTTTCCACATAGTGATTGTGGTGCTGAGATAAACGGCCGGCTGTCTGCAGGAAGCCCGAACAAAACCCTCAGACAATGTTACGGATGAGACCCACGTACACAAAACATTGCATAAGCCTCTATGACAGGCTAGATCAGATCCTGTGACTTACTCACTGACAGGAAAAAATAAGTGGGAGTTACAGACACATAAAGCCTCCTTTGTTCAAACTGTTATTAAACAGGAAAAAAACATATCAGAACTTAAGAAATGCTTAATTACCAGATATTAACCAGTCTAAATTTAAATTGATCAGAAACTGTGCAAAAGAATAAACAGGAAACAACAAAAAAGAAAGATGCAACTTGCAGTGGAAGCCGTAAAGACCTCCTTCCTACAGAACACCCACCTGTGACCATTTTATCCAGAAATGCATGTATTACAGATACAACAGGTATCTACATGTATACCTAGTTTGATAATTGCATAACTGCTAAATGTTCAAACACAAAGAACTACACAGTGAGTTTGAATTACTGTCCAAAACGTTTCCATGAGACATTTTCAGGAAACACCCACTGGATGTTAATCTGCTTGATTAACTTTTGGAGTCAACTCAATTCAAGACGCCCACCACAGCCAACTGGAAATGGCTATAACTCAGTCAAATTTACAGACACGGAACTAAAATTTGATGTGGTAGTAGCTGAAGTACCTACTACAACACATACTCATGACGTGCCATCTTGCAATATCACATGAAAAAGAATGTAAAGTTATTTTGAAGTTTTGATCAAAACCAACTGCACCATCATAATTTCTGAACAATCTGTAAATAAACTTAGATAATGCTGGGCTCTTAGTACGCATGTCAGTTATCCTTATATGTACTTAGGTTTATTAACAGCTGACAGACAAAATCAGATTACTTTTTAATTTTATCATAGGCAGAGTCTGCTTTGTGTGTCAATAAAACAAAAATATGGGGATCACATGACCCCGCCTGATACAAAACTTCACTGGTGGTGGGCAAAAACACAATCGCTCAATATTGGTTTTATATATGATTACTGAGAAATAAAATGATGCAACCAGGTACCAAACAAAAAATGGCAGTGTTTAAAACAAATTGACATGCAAATGAAAAGTGTTTTCAAATACCAGTAAAAATCATTATAAATGGTCAAACAATGTATAACTAAAACATTTTCCCTTTTCTCGTCACAAACATTGGGAGCTATTCATGTGGACTGTAAGAAGTCAACAAAGAGACAGTCAGAGAGGCCAGTCTGTTGTTCATGAGGACTACACAAAGGACAATTGCCTCATTAAAGTTGGATCACAAGTGTGAGCAGACAGACTCGGGAGGACATTTGTTCATTTCAATGCAAAAACAAATTTTCTGCTTGCTTACATCTCCAACTATTCTTTATGTGGCTGTACTGCCTGCAATCTGTGAGAATACACGTCACCAAGGAAGCAAACAAAAAATAGCCTAAAGTGATGGGAGCAGTGGAACAGCATGAAGCTCTAACCTCTGACTCTCCCTGTCCTGTGCCTCTCAGGGCTTATTATGGGCTAATAATGGGCTTTAAGTGCTTCCCTTTAGGTGTGCTGGCAACTACGCTAAGTGCTTCTTTATGAGACAGTAGATGATGAGTGGCATGATGATGATTTAGGTCCAGATTATACACAAACGACCTCTGGAAACATTAGTATTATCCCTATGTTAATTACGTTGGTGGGGGATAAAAACGCGTTTCCACAGATACTGCTGTGCTAACGAGTACAATCAATCAACTACAAC